CCAGTTCCAGGAGAACCACCCACTGGCCTGGACGGTCACTTTAACAGCCACACAAGTTCGTTCTAAGTCAAAAATGACAACCAGACTCCAGTTTCTAAGACACCGTAAAGCGCCCTCTTTCTGGGCAGCTCCCACACCCCGGCTGAAATAACCAGTTCCACCACTCGCTCCCCGCGGGCGGGGCGGGGGGGCGCGCACAAGCCCGGGCTGCTGGGCAGGCTGGGGCCCGGCCTCTGCTCCCCGCCTGCCCAGGGCGGCCCCAGGCTCTGGGGCTCGGCAGGGCCAGGCGCGGCCCCGGGGTCTGCACGCCTGACGCCTGGCCGGAGGGACAGCTGTCCTGAGGGGCGCGCTGGGGTGCGGCTGGCCGGAGCCTCGTCCCCGACCTGGACGTGAGCCCAGCGCTTAAGGAGCTGGTGCTCGGCCGTACAAAGTGAGCAAAAAGCCGTTCTTACGTGGTCCCGGCTGATCTTGTCGCAAGAACACAAGGGACGGTCACAGCCACACGCTGTGGCCCGGGGCCCGGCGGAAGGGCGACCTCGGCCCGGGCAGGAAGCGAGCACCCCCGCCACCCCCCCGCGGGGCCGGAACTTCCTGCCCCTGCCAGTACCTGCTCCGGACTCCCCCTGCCCAGCCCCGCGCCCCTCCCTGGCACATCCCTCAGTCGACTGTTGTTAAGTAAAATGAACTAACCCTGCGCGATTCTAACCGCCACTTTCAGGTTCACTCTGAGAAAAGGCAGAGTGTGACCCAGATGGGCTGGGTGTGGCGGACACCCGCGCCCGCCCGGCCGTGCCCCCACCCCAGAGGCTCCGGCACCCGCAGACCGCCGCCCCCTCCATGCAGCAGCCTGCCGGCGCGGCCCCCGGCCCGGGCCCGGCAGCCCCAACACAGAGCAGCCAGCAGGGCGCAGACAGGCCCCGGCAGGCCGGGCAGCCCGTCCCCCTCCGCTCGCGCAGGCCGGCCCAGCCCACCACGCTGGGCCCCACTCACCGCCGGCCCGGTCCTCCCGACAACAGAGAACCACATCCCGACTGCAGCGGGGCCTCCCGGCCCACACCGCGCGGGCGGCGTCTGTCAACACGACCCAGGGCCGCGGAACATTCCGACGCTTACGTAACCAGCCAGCTCTGATCTGCCTGCACTTTGTACTTACGAAACTTTAAAACACGCTGGAAAAATAAAGAGGCGGCGGTTGTTTGTAACCTTACAACCCAAACTAAACAGGAAGCATCGAGCTGTCCAGGAGGAGCACACAGCAACCCAGAAACTTCCCGAGCAGCTGCTCAGAG